CAGTATTAGGAGACATTGTAACGATAGATACAGACAAATCGTACAGCTACTCAGCTCAAAGGTGGGAGTTGCGCCAAGAAGAGTTATGCCGAAGCGCCGAGATTAGCGTGGGACAAAACTTTTGTGAGGCACCTCCGTATACACCATCAAATTGACCATCCACCTGGCCCCATAGAGCCATGCGCTAAAGGGCACTTCAGCCGTTGGGGAGCGTCCTCTTTTTCTTCCGGGCTGTGGAGTCTGCACTGCCCTAGCACGCACATATCCGGGGAAACGCCTACACAAGTCCACATGTGCCAGTGGCGACCGTAGGGCTTTGCCTCTTCGGGCCTCTGCCACGCTACAATATGGGAATGGAGCACCGACATGTGCTTCCCCTTCCGGCAGGTATAGATTAAGTCTCCCACTCGCGCTGCTGACGTGGTAAGGCGGTTTCTGATGAGCACCACTTGGTGCTGCTGCTACTGCCGGGTCCATGTCCAGAATCGGTAGTACTCTCGACATAGGGCCGTGGACCAGTATTAGGCAATTGTAATATATTTTCTGCCCATCGCTTTGCTCGGCAGACGGCATCAACGTGTGCAATTCGGGCCATACTCAGCACTGAAGAAACACGACTTGATGACTTCACCGCATGACATATGCGCCGTATCACTCAACTAGTCGTATTCCACTGGCAACGTCTCAGGCTGCACCGCTTTCTAGCGTAATTGCTAAATGGAATAACTCATGGATGTCGGGGCCCTGGGGCGTTCAAACGCTGGCCCCGCAACAAGCGGTGTCGTGGATGTAGATCGCGTTCAATGGTGGACTAATGGATACGACACCCCCGCCCGCCGTCAGATCAAACAGTCAGATTCTAACATTTGAAACAGAGGAGAAGACAACTATCTCGTCCATGGATTCCTGGTACTGTTAGGTTATGGCCGTATCCTCAGGCAGCTTACACAACGCCAGGTCCCCTGGTCTCACACAATTAAACATTTGTGCATGATTGCGAATTCTACAGGGGGAAATGTCTGTGTGGTGGCATTTTGCCAGGCGCATAAGGCCACTCAAGGAAGTATATCCTTAATTGCACGCTTCGGCCCAGCTCTTCCCCGGTTTAGCCGCGGCTGTCTCGCAAGCCCCTGGACATGTTCTTTGCCGTCATCTCAGAACAAGCCGTCTTTGTTGTCTTGGCTGTGCGAAAGCCAAGTCAAGGCTCATTGATGGCTTGGGGTAACACTATATAGCAGAAGTCGTGGCCAAGGGCGTGGTTCGAATGCGCACTCTTAGAGCTGCAGCGCTAAGCCATGCGCATCAATCTAAAAGATGCTTATACCAGATGCCTTAGCATGCGCCCTGTTTCAACGTCGAAGCGAGTCGAGACACCGTGTACATGTAGGTGCACATAGGGTAGACACGAATGACGGCCGGGCTTGAAACAAAACGTCCCGTGTTTATCGGATGAGGCTGACACATCCCAAACGCTAGCGGCAGGGCTCGTCTCACGTAACGCTCGAGCCGAAGATGGCGTCACGGCCTCCTTACGTATCCGCACTAACATTTCTCCGTGGCCGCCAGGCGAGAGCAAGACCAAGACCATCTCCCGTCCATCATCTTATCTCCATCTCCGGTCCCTAACTACTTCGGACTTCGGACGTCTAGTCCCCTCCGACACATGGCCGATCATGTCCTACCATCTCCATGTCTCTATACATACAGTAGCATAACACCGCCCCAGATCCATTGGCCAAGACTGCGCCACGATTGTGCAGGAGCGTAGCCGTTATGTCCTATGTCCGAAGGCCCCTCTCCAAACTTTCCCAACGTTTCTGCGACAGAATATCGATATAAACCGTGCAATCCGATGGACATTGCAGATGATCTACACAAGCGCTACGAAGCTTCTCTTTGTATCCAGCACTTACCTCGCACAGCCGCAGTTTTATCATCATCGTCATCGCGTTTCTGATTCTGCAGCATGGCTTCCCAGAACTTCATCAAGAAAGTCGCCTTGGTGGGTGCCAACGGCAACGTCGGATCTTACATCTTGTCAGCTCTGCAAGCCAAAAGCCGCTTCCAAATCACAGCCATCTCCCGCCAGCAATCCACAGCCACCTTCCCAAGCGGCATTGATGTCGCGCATGTCGATTACAATGAACCCCCATCCCTAGTCAAAGCATTGAAAGGACAAGACGCTCTCATCATCACCATGAGCGTCTCCGCCCGCGGCGCACAGGAAAAGCTGATCCGCGCCGCAGCCGAAGCCGGGGTGCCGTGGATCCTGCCAAACGAGTTTGGAATGTACAACACAGAGCAAGCCCAGTTGGACACAATAGGGCCCGGAAAGCAGAGAGATCGCGCGCTCATCGAGGCCCTTGGTGTGTCGTCTTGGATTGGAATGACAAGCGGCTTTTGGTACGAACACTCGCTCAGCGCCGGCTATTACGGCATCGATATCAAGAAGCGACAAGTCGTCTACTTTGACGACGGCAATCAGCGATTGAATACTTCAACTTGGCCTAGCACCGGACTCGCTGTAGCCAACTTGCTGTCTTGGCCTGTATCGGCGGCTGATGGCAAGGGCCCGGCGCTAGAGCAATACCGCAACCGTATGGTATTTTTTTCGTCGTTTGCACCCAGCCAGCGCGATATGTTTGCGGCCACGTTAAAGGCCACGGGGACAACGGAGAAGGATTGGAATGTTACTTCTGAGCCGGCAAAAGAGAGGTTAGCCAATGCACGGCAGAGCTTGAGCGCTGGCGACCACAGTGCTTTTGCGACGGTCCTGTACACGCGTTACTTTATCGACGATGCGGGCTTGTATGAGAAGACTCACGGATTGAATAACGACGAGTTGGGTTTGCCCAAGGACGATTTGGTCGAGGCTACCAAGAGGGCTGTGGAGTTGGCCCAGTCTGATTAACGCAGCAACACGTATTAGGCGCTGATTTTCGCATTCATGAAACATGTAATAATTATTTAGAAATAGGATGCATGACAATGGGCCTTTCCATGAATTGGCCTCAAGAAATCCATATTACTTAATCGCTCTCTACATACTCTACAGCTGCTCTTCCCAATAATTTACGTCTATTTCTCATTTCTGTTTACAACGTCGTCAATCAAACACAATAGCAGCCTTGACCACCTCTTGTTTCCTCACAGCCTCCAAACACTCGGCCCACTCCTCTATTCTATACCTTCTATTCGCAATGCCCTTCAACTTCAGTCTCCCGGCATTCACATACTCGAGCACGTGAGGCAGGTGACCCATACTGCAGAAGCTCGCCAAAATGGTAACTTCATTCTCCCAGATCTTGAACGGCGACCACGCAATCTTGGCGCGATCGTCGTACACGCCGTACACAACTAGCTTGCCGCCCTTTCGCACATAATCCAGCGCCTTCTCGAGGACCGTGGGCGCGCCAGTAGCTTCGACAACGACGTCGAATCCGTGCGGGTTCGCCGTGCGCAGACTGTGCATGTCCGTCTCGGCATGGTCATCGGAAATGGTAATGTACGTGTCTGCAATGCCTAGCTCGCGCGCGAGATCGAGTTTCGGTCCAGCTTTGGACGCGATTGTCAACTACAGTATCTCAGTAAATCGAAACATGAGATGTTGTAGCGGAGCCAGGAGGGGAGTTCTGCATACATGCGCTGCGCCATTCATCTTGATCAGTTGCGCAAGGAGTATGCCCGTTGGCCCGCATCCGAACAGCAGCACGCGGCTTCCGACTTGCAATTGCATTCTCTCGATGCCGTGCACGGCGCAGGCGGCCGGCTCGAGCAAAACCGCCTCGAGATCTGGGAGATCGCCAATGGGGAGCACCATTCGCGCGGGGTACCGGCAGTATTCAGCCATGCCGCCCGGTACGTTGCCACCGTATCCTGTGACGTTTTCGCATAGCAGAGGCTTTCTTCGGGTGCAGTGGAAACACTGGCGGCAGGGCTCCAGCGCATCGGCTGCTACGCGGTCGCCAACCGCTACGTTGGTGACGTGCTTGCCGATGGCGGCAACTGTGCCTGTCGCCTCATGGCCTATAATTATGAGTAGAGTATCCATAAGAAGATATGAAATGGATAATACCGGGTATCAAGGGCCACTGGTGAAGTTGGTTAGTATATTCCACTCAATGTATAAAGTACTACCCTTACCTTTGCGAGAAATTCGCCTTTATGATAGTGCAAATCCTTTCCAAAAAAAAATCAATACGAGAAACCAGGAATATCCAACTGTGGTGAAGTACATACAGTTCCGCATACACCACAAGCCGAAATCTTGACCTGGAATAACAGGTCAGCACCCGGGACGCCGCGGCGTGGAACCCAACAAACCCTACCAGCACGTCGTCATCCCCAATAGCTGGCACATCAATCGTTTCAACGGCAAACTTCTCCGGCCCGGAGTATCTGCTTGTTCTCAGCAAGTTTCCAATGCCACCCCAAAGTGCAAGCATGCCTTACTGCAGTGCCTTCATCTTCTTAGGCACAGCCTGAGGCTGCCCGTGCTGACTAGATGCCGCATGCCCGTTCATGGTGGTCTTGAGGGAGCAAAGAATTTGCGTTTGAGACGAGCAAGATACATCATGGACTACCGCATTTTATAAGCACGCTCAATGTATCTCGGCGCGAGGGTGATGTGTTGGACGCGGTTGGTGTGATTGGGGAAGGTGCGGGGTTCGGCAAACCTTCCTCGACGCGATCCCGCTCAGCAGCATCGGCATTGCTGTTTTGGGAAAGCCTAAGCATGTATACATTCAATCTGACTCTGGCCTTTGCTGCTACTGTACAACTGGTAAAGTATCGCAGTCACTGGAGGTTTGGACTTCTTGATCGCCATGGATGGGTTGATTGAGTATTGATAGCAAACTAGTAACGTCGAGCTTGAAATTATTTACTCGAGTACGTAGATTACTCGGTGGTATCCTAACCACCAAGCAATGAATACTTCAGGGGTGGTAGATTCAGCATCACATTGGAATGGGAGAGCAGCTCTGAGCTCAGGTTACGGCAATCCGGTTCGTGTATCATTCGGCGGTTCGAAGACTTTTTATTCCTAATTCTGCGGAAAGTGCAGGTCACTCTATGCGGGGTCGTAGGGAATGCTTACATGGCTATCGCCAACATCTGGTTTTCTTCTCATGGAGAAAATGAATTCTAACACACATCTTCTCAAAGTATGTACCAGGTCATGGGTTTTACTTGGTTACCAGCCAGTGTATATTGCTTCCTTACTTCAGCATCAAAACTTAGCAAGATGACTACGCTCAGACGATTCATTTAATGTTTTGTATTGATATAACGAAACCGTAGCTATATCCTCTCAAAAAAAATTGGGTCCGCAGCTTCGTGTCCTCGGTACGTGGTGCAATAGTACAACCGCCAAGCGACCTGCATTTCGGCTTGTTAGCAATTTCTACGGATTACTCCCCAGACTAAGTACTGCAAAAATAGGATTCGCAGATGAGAGGCGCCTCTACCGGCCTTTGCTCCCTTTTCCACAAGTAATATTCTTCACAGGTTTCCACAATCTTGCCTTGAGTGCCTACAGGAGCATACTGTATGCTGCGGCGAATACGGCTTGGTCACTATGCTTGCTATAGCCATATCTTCGTGCGACGCAAAGAGATAGAGGTAGATATGTAGTCTCTTGATAGCTATGTTACCAACTTATACTGAAATAGGTATCCTCATCGCGTTGAAATATTGGTTGTAGGCCATTGCTAGCGTAACGCAGTCCACACTTGTTATCCTCCACACCATGACATCACGATGAGTAAGGCAGAACGCTTCAGCAAAACACTACGAACCGTAAAGGCCCTTGTAACTATCAGAGTCAGCACTGAGACAAGCGAGATTTGGTTTCATTTTGGCGAGTCATATTCACAAAGCGCTGGTCAAGGCTCAGGTATCTCAGCCAGTATTTCCAGATGCTAATTTTCTCAGAGAAAGAATACATGCCGTCATGAGGCTGTGATAAATGGTAAGCTTACATCGCCGGGTCCGTTGTATCCGTAGCCAGGAAAACCCCTGCTCCTTGATGTTGCAGAGAGAGAGGGAAAAGTGGGGCAGTTGTCTTACAAGAAATACTCAGGACCTCATGACGTGTATTTATGCAAGTATTAGGTTCCGTCTCGGCAAATGCTTTTTTTTTGTGCCCAAGATATTTGAGGTTGACGCATAGGATTTTAGAAAGGGGCAGCAGTCGAACGCCTCGTGCCGTGTTTTGATTATCCACGCAGGGATGTCGTCCACACACGGAAATCTCATCTCAGGAGAAATAGATTGGCGAGGAAGACTCAAGCAACAATTTATAAACCAAATATTGCCACAGAACGGTCTGGAATGATGGAGTGGCAGTTGTGTCGACATATCGAAAGTCAGCAGTAAGCTCGGCTTACTTTCCCTGAAGAGAAATGAGATTGTCTCACTGAGTAACTGTTGGCTACCCGCTGTATTCCACCAACCATGCAGCCATGACTACCATGCACAATTGAGACGTATCGATTGACGTCCGGGCTGGGCTGACTTCAATCAGCTTCATTAGCCATTTTTCCTGTATGGCTACCGGGAATGAAATGTCGCGACACGCCTTGGGATCTCAAACAGGCCAATAGGAGCATCCCCTAACTAGCACCTTCCACCCTTACCAAATCACGCACTACTGCCGATTCGAGTACCTGCTGTCCCGAAAAGGCAAATTAAATAGTCCTACTACTTGTGACTAATACCAGCACACCTTAGATAAGCGTGTGCACAAAATTAACGCGGCCTGTAGGATTGCCAAGCGCTGGGGATGAGCCTAGCGATGAATCAGCATGAATAACGCTTTACAGCAGCAAGCCTCTACGCGCCCGCATACTCCATGAGTACCTGAGGATACAAATGCGGCTTTATTGATTATACTGAAGAGTAATCATCACGATCGAATCGGTTCCATATGCAGAGGTTGAAGGCCTTCATAAAGATGGCTGAACGCTGCACAGAGAGTCGTCACCCAGGTTTTGAAAGTGTCTTTTGGAAATATCGCAATCATGCTGTTCAACTCGCTCGTTCCTGCATTGTCGTTTAGTGTAGGTTTCACAAAAGTTGAGTGAATGTCTAGCTGACATCTAGTGTTAGGCTACAGTGAAATTGCCCGTAAGGCCACCAACAATACACCCTCAGCAACATGCACAAGGCCTTAACATGACCATGTCTAGATTTCTGTTGGAACGATAGCAACAGGACCAAACTCCATATACGTCGATGTCGTAACCGGAACCTTGACTTCCGAGCCCGGTGTACGCCTTATCCTCTACTATCCTCAACTGACCCTTTTCTAACAACTTCCCTTTTTTTCACCCCAAAGTTCCTTCCACAGCTCGAAGCAACAGCTATCCGAGGTGGTGATCACATCATGACTGATCCACCAAACCCAAACTCCAATGCGACTATCCTGCGCCTGCATCTCGACACGCTCGTCAAGACGAACGACGACCCTGCAGAGTACATCCGCATGCGCGCCACAGGCGTGGAAATCGCGACCCCAGAAGCCGCGGCTGTGCTGAGCGGCGACCGCAACGCGGCGCCCGTTGCATTTGGAGATTTCCAGGCCATTAGCTCCTGGGCGTTTGAGACGGGCAGCGCAAAGTACTGGGAGTTGCAGAATGCTGTGTTTGTCGGGAGTACGAGTTTGAAGGTTGGAGAGGAAGAAGGCACGATTGTGGTTGGTTTCAAGATTGCAAAGGTCATGAGTACCAAGGGTAATTAGTTGTTATTGTTGAGAAATGGGGATGTGCTGGATGCGATAATGGAGCTTGGTATTTGGATCTTAATAGCAAGGTGCGGATCAGACCTTTTGAAATATACAAAGGACTCGATTTTTGAGAAGCATGGATGCTTTCGTTATTGATCTACTGGACTTGATGACATGTTTCGAGTCAAAGTCGTCAAGTCTTGAAGTTTTCTGAAAACAGCAACCTATGTACTTCGGCATGTACGTGGTAGGTGACAGACCAGTGCATGACGTCGCTGTTGATCTCCCAAAACAAAACATGGTGTGCTAATTTCAAAAGCTCTGGACTAGACCCTTGCTGTCACATCTTGCCTCGAATCCACTACTCCGCCCAAATAACATGCTCCCTCATGACGTGCTTTCCATCACTACTCTTATTCAATACCCTTTTTGTTTCATGCTGGCTCCGCGATTTCTGCTGTAAGTTATCCGCCTCACCTTCCATGCGTTTATCTTGTGAGTGACTAGCTGGTGGCGGCGGCGGTGGTGGTGGTGGCGGGGGTGCCCAATCAACATAGAAGAGCAAGTAGGGCCAACTCGTTTCATCATCTTCTCGAAAAACGACAATCTCACTGACGTATTTGTTGCCTCCGATCTCGCGCTTGTGCTGAGTCAGAAAGTAGCCGACGGCTAGTCCATTTGGTGATCCTGAATATGTGTCAGTCAAAGACTGCTGTGTGTCCTACATCTGAATGGTGTTGGGAAGGGAGAAGATCGACATGAAAGAAAGACCTTACCGAGGAGAGCTGAATATTCTTCACTCCCAGAATGAAAAGAGTATCCTGGCCAAGCTGGCACCGAGTATATCCCTCTTTTTTCCAGTGCTTTGTCTATGATGTCTCCAGTGTCCGCGTTGATAACCGTGATGGACATGAAAGCATTGATGTTTCCCAGATTGTGAGCGCTCATTCTGTTCCACAGACCCCACGCTATGTCTGAGCTGGATCTCAAGGCGGGTAGTTGGTCTCGGGGAATTGGAACCTCCTCTGGTACTTCCCAAAGCTTGCGAGCTTCGTGTTCCGGGGATTCACGCTGTACCAAGTAGATGATTCCGTCGCCAGCATTTATCCCAATGGTAAAGAGAGCGCCAGTGACCTAGAGGAGAGGTTTTCTTGTAAGCAAATGATATTCTCGATGTAGTGTTCCAACTTACCCTATATCTCCGACCATTGACAACGTAATGCTGCTCACTAAGAGGTGGCATGCTTCCATCTCTGTTTCTTTCGACGGCAGGTCCACTGTAATGAACAATGGTGAAGCAGTGATTGGGTCCGCCCTGTCGGGAATTTCGTGGATCGAGACGCAGCCCTTCGAAAACCCTCTGTAGGTCACCACTTATTGTGAAGTCGCAATCGTCGATCCTTCGCGGATTATCGCTATCGTCGCTGTAGCCCCAAGTAGCCATTTCGTTCACTAGAGTACCGTGCCAGGGAGTAGTCAGAGGAGTAACATGCAAGGCTGCCTGGTCTGGGTTGAGAGTGGTGCCTAGAAGCAATCTATTGCCCCGGCAAGTCGCGCGGTGCCATAGGTCGCCATCGTTGGTCGTAACATGAACTGTTTGCTCAGTGGAGCCGATCTGTAGACTGGAAGAGTTGCTGAGAGAGACATTGGTGAAGTTGGAGTAAACAATGTCACCCACGGCGAGGCAAAGAAGCCCCGCGATACCGAGGGTGAACGTGAGTTTCATGTTGGGAGTTGAGCTCAGTAGTCGGAGAGACGACTCCAGGTGTTGGTTGAAACAGCACCGGTAGAAGGAGAAGAAGTGTAGTCAAGTCTTTAACAGTAGCGCGATATGAAAGCTTGGGCAATGGCGCGTCACTCAGTCAAGGCTGAAAAGCACAGACCATAAGTGAAGGTAAACAGGTGAAGGAGTTGTTGTTTCTGTTCACAGGAGATCCAGTAGAGGAAGAGATAATAGTGAGTGAAGCATTTCAAATCACCCACCAATAGTTATTTTCTTCCTCTCACACCTCAACCAACATTGTAACATGTCCGACTGATATGCGAAAGCTCCAGTGGATATCTGTATATTATCCATGTGGAGAAGGCAAAGGATGTGAATAGCCCGATGATTGAACCTCCAGTGAGGGTAAAATGTCTTCGAAGACTTGCCGAGTAGGACTTAACTTTCCATCAACCTAAATGACTGGAGGATTCGAATGCGTACAAACCCTATCAAAACCCTTCTTCACCTTCGTGTTGAGTTTGAATTTGCTCCTTTAGAATTTTGCAAGAGGGTCGTAAATTGTGGTTTCCACTAAATCTAAGCATTTTCATTACGACATCCTGCTCATGAACGTTGATAAGCCTGGTGAGAATACACAACCACCCCAGGTATATCCATCACATTCAGATAGTATCATAGATGCTATTGCCAGACCCACCACTCAGGGTATTAGCTTGCGCTGTAGTAAATCTAAGCACATTCCCATCCCTTAGTTGAAGGCAGCTTAGGCCTGGTAGTGGTCAAACTGAATATCGTCACGTCTCACCGGTCACAGTCACTGATGTAGGTTTCGTAAGTGATGCGGCGGAGCCTCATTCCAGTCTGTGTTGGCAATATTGCGATCTGTGGCAGATATCTACTACCTCTTTCCTGCATCCGGACTGCGACCGGTTACATTCAATACATCTCGCACACCTCCCGTGCTCAACATAGGGTTTGTTACAACCCTGCCATTGTTCAGTGCAGTTATGTTGATTGTGTCACTGTCGTTTGTAATCTCAAGTGCAAGTTCGGATGCCTCCAAAGAATAACTGCACCAAAAGTGTGGCAACCCGCATGGTTGTATGAACTCTCGTGCTGAGAGAAGCCCGGGTAAGTGGCTTTTGCGATAAGATGCACATAGTCAAAACAGTGCATAAGTATTGAGGTACCTGTCTTTGCACTCAAAAAGCACGGAGCCGTTCGTTGTTGATAGGTAATGTATCTCGGTGTTTACAGAACTTTCGTACGCGGACTGGGCTGCCGGGTCTAATGCTGACGTTGATGACGGGCCAGATACGGAGATTTATGGCTCTTCTCTAGTGGTACCTGAACCGGGCTGATTAGAACATGGAATTCTGTAGGTACGCCACCTTCGACAGGAAGCACATGCGTAGTTTGCTGTTCAACACGTGAATGGTAGTTGGAGATGCAGCCCTGCATGAATCCAATGGGCTTTGCATGAAATCTCTTGAGGGGCAAAGACTGTGTCGAATCCACCTCAATCACTATCGCTGTCATAACCAGCTACAAGCATATTAGACAACTTTGATGGTGGCGCGACTGCTTTGGCTTGAGCCGGGGGTGCTGGAGTAGGAGCTGGCGCCGGGACCTTTTTCTTAATCCCGAGTGCAGCGCTAAAGTCTTTCTTTTCCTTAGGCTTCTTGCTGAATGAGGCGACGACGGGTACCTCTATTGGGGCATCCATCATGTCTTCGTCAATTTCTTCCTCGCCAAGGTCTGGCATGCTTCGGTTAGCAAATGCCTGCCGTGCTGCTTCGGCATCTTCTTCGTCCTGTTTCCTCCTGCGCTCGTCGGCGGCATCGGGCTGCACATCCGGCCTAGTGCCTTCACGATCTGCCTTCTCCAGCCGCGCGTTCCTCGAGCGAATCTCGTCCAAGGCATCGGCAATGGCCATCTCAGTTTTGGCGTCTACCACCTTTGTCTCCAGTTCCTTCATCGCGTCGCGCTCTGCCTCTTCCCTCTCTAAGCGGTCCAGGCGCTCTTCTTCAGTCTCCTCGTTGAGCTTGGCTTCCCTCCACGGTTCGAAGTTGCGCTTTGCGCCGCGCTCGCATTCGTAGTCCATGTTTTTGGGATCGGTCTTGAAGGTGATTTCGCCGGAGCAGCGAGTGCAGCGTATGTAGAAGCGGAAGATGGCGATGTTGTAGTACTTTTCGTCAGTCGTCTCCTTGCGCGCGTTGAACTTGCGGCCTTTGTAGATGAACTCGCCGCAGTGAGTGCATTTCATAGAGAAGGGCGCCATCAGGCGGACGGTCATGAGCTTGGGGCCGGCATTCTTGGGACCGCGCTGGCGCGTGATTTTTGAGGGGTCGAAGTCTGGGGGGTAGTACTTGGTGAGGACCTTTCGTTCAGACATGGCGGCGGATTAGCGGGGGATAACGCGGCGGTGTGTGTAACTGGGGGCTGTTTTGGCGCCCGACGATGTGTCTGTATTGTGTGGAATGACTGGCGTACGCAATGGAGGCGGAGTGAAGACGTGACGTGACGTGAAGTTGAGATCCAGGCAACTTTTGGCTGACTAAGGCGGGCCGGGGCCCCTGCAGCGACCCCGCAAACATGTGCTTTCGTGTCTGTAGCGCGCCGCACATGACATCTCCCACCTAACCACCAAGGCGCGCCATGGACAAGTATCTTCGCGAGTGGCGCCAGGAGGCGCTGAACCGGTGCCAGTACGACACGGCCATCTTTGTGGCCGACAAGCTGCTTGCCCTGACTGGTATGCTGCTCTCCACACGGCCGACTGGCCATGCGCGCGTGCTCACGACATGCCACAGACGACGACCAAGATGCTTTCTGGCTGGCCCAGGTCCACTTCACCACGGGCAATTATAATCGCACCCAGGCCCTGCTGGCCCGCGGCAGCCTGGTTGAGCGCACCCCGCAGTGCCGCTATCTGGCCGCCCATTGCGCCATCAAACTGGGCAAAACCGAAGAAGCACTGCACATTCTCGGCGACAAGAACCCCACCCACCTCATCTCGGCCCCGGGGAGCGCGCGCACAAAGTTGCGCCATGTCGACGTCAACTCGCGCGCCGGCCCACGCCACAACAGAACCGGCTCGCGCAATGAGCGCCTGCCCACGAGCGAGGAGCGCGATCGCGAGGACGTCAACAACATCAAGTCTGAGGCGGGCATGTGCTACCTGCGCGGCGTCTGCTACGCCAAGCAAAACTCGTTTGACCGCGCAAAGGAATGCTACAAGACGGCAGTGCAGATTGACGTCCAGTGCTTCGAAGCCTTTGACGCCCTCATGTCCAACTCGCTCATGGCACCCGAAGAAGAATGGGCGTTTCTCGAGTCGCTCAACTTTGACACCATCAATGTCTCCAACAACCCCTCCTTGTCCCAAGAAGCCGCCTCCTTTACAAAGACGCTCTATACGACCCGCTTGTCCAAGTACACCAGGCCAGACGAGTTTGCAAATGCCACCGAAACCCTTACTACCCACTACAACCTAGGAGAGAACCCCGATATTGTGCTCTCCAAGGCCGACCTCATGTTCACCCTATGCCGGTTCCGCGACACGCTTGCTCTTACCTCGTCCGTCCTCGCCAACGATAAATACAATTTCAATGTCATGCCTATACATATCGCATCTTTGCACGAACTTGGCGAGAAAAACACCCTTTTCCTTCTCGCCCATGAACTTGCAGACACAAATCCCTCAGAACCTTGTTCCTGGTTTGCTGTCGGTACATACTACCTCGCCATTGGGCGCGTAGCGGAAGCACGCCGTTATTTCTCCAAGTCGTCGATGATGGACCCGCACTTTGGGCCCGCGTGGATTGGTTTCGCGCATACGTTCGCAGCTGAAGGCGAGCACGACCAAGCCATTTCCGCCTACTCTACCGCTGCACGGCTGTTCCAAGGCTCTCATCTACCTCAGCTCTTTCTGGGTATGCAAAATCTCCAGCTTAACAACTTGAGTTTATCAAAAGAATATCTGAAAACATCATACGACCTGTGTGAGAACGACCCCTGCCTGCTTAACGAAATGGGCGTCGTCTACTTCCACGAGGGCCAACTGCTGGACGCAATACAGTTCTTCCGTCGGGCACTCGCCTTCTCAGAGCATAACGAAGCAGATCCGGATGCGTGGATACCCACTAGAATCAATCTCGCCCATGCGCTTCGTAAATACGAGCAATACAGCGAGTCTCTCGCAACATTTGACGAAGTGCTTCGCCACGGCACAAAAGACCCCAGTGTATTCGCAGCAAAAGCACTAGTACTCCTAAATATGAATCGCACCTGGGAGGCCATTGTCACCCTGCACGAAGCCCTTGCCGTAGCACCACAAGACCCTCTAGCTACGGATCTTCTCAACCGCGCACTGGAGGTCAATGAGTCTGACGGCAATCTCCTCGTCCCATCTGAGTCAACTGCAGGAACAAACATGCTCGATGACGCAGAAGAAGACGAAGAACTCGAACAACTCGAACGACGCATGAATGGAAAACTACGCGAAATCGAACAGAACCGCGTTGCTGGTAGACGTTCTCGCAGAAGACGACATGCACAGGGTGTAGCGGCCGAGGATCTCAGTGCCTTTGGCGAAAGCATGGTAGTGGATTCTGATGAAGGCTAGTCATCACAACTCTATCGTTAGGTTTTCTTGGCTTCCAGATCCCACTGCTCACACACATGTATTCGGGACGGGAGGAGCATCTTGGATATGTTTCATTGCATACTGGCGTCAACAAGGGTTGGATGGGCTGGGGAAGGTTCGGTCTTGGATCATGGCATAGCGAGTGGAGTGAGCGGCAATCTTTTTCTTCTTCGGTCAAAAACGAGATACCAAAGCATGGGCAATTCTTTCTCTCTCTCTCTTGACTCCTAAGCAATTGGAAATTTGTACCGTGTGATGCTTTCTTCTCGTCTTTCATCCCATGACGTACTCTTCGGCATGCCTACATTGATCCCGCCGTACGGATATATAACCGTAACCATCTTTTTCTTCTCAGAGTTACTATCGATGTATGACTTACGGGTTTCCGTCAAAGATACAGCATTAATGCTCACCATATTCTGATTGCTATTATTCTTCTTTAATATAGTACCACCTTGGCCGATGCCTATCGCAAAAGTTGTACGTTCAGTACACCCATATAAGTACAAATCTGCCGGGGCAAATGATGTCATCAAAACGGATAACTGAGTACTTGGTGTGTGTTGTACGTTCACAATGCGGCAATTTTCAGCTAGAGATATCACTCAGTTTAAGCAATAGAGAAAAAGAAGAAAGATATGCCTTGATAAGCTCACTGGATAATTATGTACTGTCATGCCATCGTACCGTAATGCAAAGAATGCAAAATCACTATGTATAACACATGGCCATCGCGGCCGCATACTCGTATCTCTCCGCTGTCTGAGAAACCCCCCCTCCCTTTTTTTTTCCTCTCAGCGTTGAAATGCGTTTCCAGCTTTTTATTTCCAGACCTCGGCCATGGAGTTAATTTACAATACGCCTAGTCCCCCGACATAAGTTACAGCAGCCCAAGCGACAGAGCCTCCGCAGCCACAAACCACCACACAGCCCTTATGAATGAGCAAAAAAAAGACCAGAAAGCTCACAATCGTGTCTAGTCATAAGATTCGCTTCTTCCCACGCGCTACGAGAAAGTTTTACGCAGCAGCGCCCATCAAACTAATCCAATAAAGTTGCGTGTAGAATTCCGCCTACTTCTCCCCCGCAGAATCAGAAGCAGAACCCGAAGCAGCAGCGGTGCAATTCATGAGTTCCCAAAGCAGCCTCGCTCGCGTCTCACTCAGCGTCGTGTCCTCTGGTGCTCTGAGCGAGCCATCCGGATCCACGGTGCAAATGTGCTTGACAGCCGCCTCATCCACACACGGGCCGTTGGTCCCGGAAAACGTCGGGTAGCCATCGTACCGCTTGTGCCGGACTTTGTCTAGTACAGGACGCATGTTGAAGTTTAGAGGGAGGCCCAGCGCAGCTGCGTGTGCAGAGTCCATGGTGTTGTTGCTGTTGTGCGCTGTGTAGAGGGGCTTTGTGGAAGATGGTGCGGTGATTTGGAGCGTTGTTTCGCTGCTGGTAGTGGTATGCGCGCTGACATAGTTGGACATGGCGTCGCGGATGCGGGTTCCCTTTTCGATGTCGCTCATTGTAATGCCGGATCGGAGGGCGGACAAGTGAAGGCGGTGTGTTTCGTATTTGGGGTCTCGTCCCTCGATCGCTGTATGGGTTGTTGGATGCGGCTCTAATGGAGGAGGTTGGAGTTTGGGAACACTTTGCGGTGCTGTTGGCTGTGGAGGAGGTTGAGTTTTGGGAATGCGCTGTGGTGCTGCTGGCTGTTGACGAGACTGCTTCTGTGGCTTTTGCGGCTTCTTCACAGATTGCTTGTGTGCCAAAGGCTGAGTGGAAGGCTTTACTGAAGCGGGAGTGAGAGTCGCATCAGAAGACTTGCTGGGTGTTGCGAGCCTCTTTTGCGCCTCTCGGTGCCGAGATATCTCATTCAACTGCTCTCGCGTCCACTGGCGCCCATGCTGGTCGGTGATGAAAGATTGTTGTGGTTGCAATACTGCAGCCGGTGACTGAAGCTGCTTTCGCGGACCAACATTCGTAGATGCCGATGTTTGTCTCGTGGTTAGTTGGCGCGCAGGTAATGCAGCGAATTCCTGATGTGCCAACTGAAGACCTGATCTATTGCTAACCACGGACGCCTGTGGGTTCATGGTCATGGGTGGTGATATCTCCTGCATTTGCTGTCGAATCTCTGGCCTCATTGATGCCTGCATTTGCTTGCACCGGAGGAAATCATTATACTGTTCCAGCGTCCAATGGCGACCATAGCGATCAATAATCAATGGCCTTCCAGTGTTCGGCATGGGCATTGGGGCTGCATTCTGTATAGGATGCGACACCATCTGCGCTTGCTGGGCTGCGGCACGCTGATGCGGCATATTCTGAACTCTCCGTGGTTGAACTTGCATTGCCGGTATGTGCATATACGCGTGCCCAATGCGTGGAGCTGGAGACATCTGTACCTGGGGTTGCGGTTGTTGCTGAACTACGTAAAACTGATGTTGTGGTGCACCTGGGGCAAGGTGGGAGAACGTGCCGTTTGCGTTGCCAAGGGCCGGCGGGTCTGAAGGGTGCTGCGAAAGGAACGGGTTCATTGTGGAGAGGGTGAGGGTGCCAGATAGCGATATACTGTCAAGTGTGCCAACCCAGTAAGTTCAGGAAGCAGCTGTTGCGTTAGGGTATACTGCGAGGCGTCCGATAAGAAGGTAATCTTTAAAGAAAAGAAAAATCCAAAAAGACCAAAGTGAAGATAAAAGAAGGCAGAAGGGCCACTCGAGCAAAGACAAGGTGAATTCAACTTGGAAGATGTGGTACTGGGAGATAACCAATCAACATGTCCAAGTTGCAATTTGGAAAACGTACGTCAGCGGCAGATAATTTGCCCCACAGGAAGATAGAAGTAATGTCAGTCATAGGTGAAGGAGCACGAAGGAAATTCAAATGTGCTTTGGAATGGTTGTCCTGGAGCAGCAGCGATATGCTAGGCGAGTAGCTGCGGAAAGTACAGTTCATGCGAGAATCCCAGCTAGAAAGCCTCGTGGTTTTCAACCCGACATGGTAGGATTGATTTCTAGGCGTCTCCGAGAAAGAAGAGGAGTACTGTTATATCGTCAGTAGTATTGTGCGGTGTGTCCGTGTCTGTGTGCGGATGGAACATGCCTTGACGCGGTTCCAGGATCGCTACCAGATGCTTCCGAAACCCCTAGCGAATGATTGCAATCCGGTATCAGCAGTGCCATTGATCACTTTGCAAAACTCTTAACTGGTCAGAGGCCTTGCACGTCTTAGTTGAATTCTTGTCATCCCTAGTCACCCAATAAACCCTATTCAGGCTGAATTTTTGATACATGTGCTCCCAGTTCCGAAAGCGCCTAGAATAGATACTTCAAAACAAATACGCTCTTCACAACCCGCCACTCACAACGATAATGCCTGCGCTTTTGCGCGCGTAGGAAACTTGCATTTGGACCCTGTCCAAACAGCGCATATACGCTCATACGTAACCTGCCAACATCTGTCAGCCCACAACCCCTCAACCCCGACCATTCTTGTGTGGAGGTTATAAAATACCTTTCCTAGCACCTTGGAAAAAGAAGCGGACAATGAAGACCTGCAGACCCGCCATGGTCATGATCAGGCCCGACTCCATTAGACTGAAGTTGAATATCCTCTTCTCGGTGCTCTTGACTGTGCTGAAGTTACGGTTCTCGCGCGTGCGGAAGTACTTTTGGTTGCGCGCAATGGTTGAGAGTTGGGCTGAGAGCTTGATGATCGACTCCTCAATGACCGAGGTTTGTTCGGGGGACGAGCCCTGCTTGGAAGGAATCTTGGCGCGAGCGGCTTCGTTCTCGACCTACAGGCGCAGAAGGTCAATATGATGCATGGCGAAGTGAGAGAGCGCTTGCAGCAGACAACGTACGGCAATCTCAAAGTCCACCACCTTCTCCGCAAAGGTGCTCATCTGGTTGTTGAAGCAGAAGCGGTATTCGCCAACATCGTTTGCGGTGAATACAAAGTCACCCTGGCGCTCCTTTGTGCCATCGAGAATGAGTCTGTCTCCGGGGCCGACGACGGAATAATCGATATCGAAAGAACCACCGGATTGTACCTGTTCGCAGATATGTCAGACTTGGTGCTGGCGCTGAGTGTAGGAGAAGAGCAGATTCCACGCGAGGGATTGACTGTCCTAGCTCCCGGAATAGACGTACAGCGAAGTAGAAGGCCAGCTTAGTCCCCTTGTGCTCCGTCTTTGCGAAGAAGCATGCGTTCTCGTGTGCCTCTAATTTGTAGGTAAGGGCGGTAGCGTATACAGCAGTGGCGTATGTCAGCAAAGCGCTGAGCAGTGTGAAGAGCCCTCGCATCGTGTTTGTTGGCGTGAGACGATTGCTTTGGCTCCTGCGTGTCTGGTGTTGCTAAGTTCCAGCTGTCGACAACGTCGGGGGTACGTTTGGCCGATGCAGGGATGCGACCAGGGAGGAGGCGGGGACTAGCAGGCGACCAATGAGAGCAAGAGGGCTGGCGAAGCGCAGATCATCGAGTATCTGGACAGGCTCATGGTTGCCATTGGATGTTACTGTTGCTATACCGGTCTACACTGCCTACACGCAAGACCTCATCCAAACAGCACACGCTACACACTCACTACAAACATCTAGGCGCCAGTGCTAATTTCCCTACACACACGCTCCGCCAAATGCAATGCTTCACAGCTCCCTGCGCCATGCATCTTGAATGGGCGCAAAGCGCGCCACCCTGCCAAGCAATAATGACATATTTTATGTCGTCTTGCTCACAGCGTAAAGTGGCCCTGATGAGCAATGTTGCTGGCGGTCCCGTCGTATTCCATAACGCTATTTTCTACACCTCAACGAATGAATATGGAATCTGTCTTGCCCCAGAGCGTCCGTGTTTTGGCTGGGTGGTCGAGTCCTATTGATACGTCGTCTCGTCCTGCTACTACATCCCATAATACGTCATCTGCGATACGGTCAGAGCTTGCCAATGGACCACGGTCAGAAAAGTTTCTTACCATCCTCTAACGGCTCTGGCTTTGAATATTGCGACCTGCTAACAAGAGCAAATTTGATTTTGTCCAGCTGCTTGCCCTTGATCTTGGTAAAGTCTGATAGTCGCTGTCTAGTCTCACTGAACGGTTCGCCCTTTGCACTGTTAACACCAACCGAGTGATACCGAGTCATTTCGGACACGACTTACTTCCTTGAGCGAGAATTGGAATGGCACGCCGTGGGGTTTTGAGGGTTCCTTGTCGTAGTGAAACACTGTAATCTTCTTCGACGACTCTTCATCAGGAAAAGGCGCGGCAAAGATTTGCGTGTAGTCGTAAAGGCTCATAATGGAATGATCCGGGGGCAGGACCTTGTGGAACTTGTGCATGTGCGCCTCGTATGTTCGGACCTTTTGCATCACCTCATCGCTGATGCCAGCCTTCTTTTGCAGCGCCTCGAGAAGATCGGAAACCTGGGCATTCTTAGGTACCATCAAAGTATGTTCCTCCTATGTTTTGGTCAGTAACGAAAACAATGACAAAATTTGCATGGAAACAGACCTCTTTGCTGAGCCCTTCAGGCAGCCAAGTCACCTTTACCGGTTTCCTCTGTTCCAGCTCTTTCAGACTCATATCCAGCACCTCGTAGAACATGACATCATTTCGTTGCATGGCACTCGCCGAGTAATTGTACGGACCAGGGAAGAGGATGTTGTTGAGTGTGGAGCTGGCGTTGTACTTGATAGCTTGCTTGGGTTTGCCAGCTGTGCTGACAGTAGTGAAGCGGAGATGGTTGGGATCCGTCTTGAGGTACTCCGCCACCTTGCTAGCAAACTGGTCGTAGGCCATCTTCTTGCTGAGCGTCAGGGAAAAGGTCGGTAGATCGGCTTCTGATATCCTCGGCACAAACTCGACGTTGATCCGGTTGAGCAAGTAATCGTAGAATTCCTTGGCATCAGTGTAGCCACCTGTCGCTGTTACCTGCGCCACCTCTTTGTCATTTAGCACACGTTGGACTGTAATAATGTCACCGTCTTGAATCTCAGACGCCGCTAGTGTGACCTTTGGCTTCATTGCCTCGATCATGCTTTGCTTAATCTCCTCTGAGAGCTTGATTTGCGTGCCGGCTGGCCATCCCATCATCTTGAGGATGGTAGGGCTGAGGTCCGACACTTTGTCTTGGTAGGCTGCGTAAAGGGTTCCGATACCGAAGAGGCTCTGTTGATGGGCGTCAAAGTGCTTTAAGAATATCATCAATGGGCGGTTGTTAGCCTGGCCCTTGAGATCCACCGGCCGGTCGCCAAATATCGGCGCGCCAGACGAATCGCGTTCCTCGGCCTTTTCGATCCACATTCTGAATTGCGATTGCTTTGTGCCGTGCTTGCTTGCGGCCTCTTCGACCGTCATTTCGGGAAATTCCAGGGCAGTGTCAGGACGAATGGTACCATTCTGTCTGTTGACCATGGACCACGGCCGCAGCATATCGGCCTGCGTACCTAAATCTCGCGCCACCGTTTCCGCAAAGTCGGCCATGGTCGTTGCTCTGAGAACCCGGTAGATCTTTGGGCTAGCGGGTGTCTCTATATCGCTCTTCCATGGCACAATGTCGAATCCCTGGTAGACACTGAATTGGTCGTTGGATGCGACAGCGACATCCATGTAGAGATGCGCCTCCTCACGCTCCTTCTTCCTACGTTCCAAAGCCGCACGCTCTTCGGCAAGTCGCTCGGCAAGGTGCTTGGGGGGTTCCACAGCTTTGCTGTCCATGAGGACTTGGTCAAGCTTTGTTTCTCTAACGTAGACCAACATGTAAGCGCTCATGGAGCGCTTTGCCGACCAAGCCCGCGTGTAGGGGTTTCGCTGGCCCGTGTTTCCGTTCGCCTGGACATAATCGCCGCCAAAGTTTTCCTCGAGCGCTTCGCGGATCGTGGCGCGTGTTACACGGTCGTCGTCGAACTTGTAGTAGTGCCCGTCTTTGGTAGGTTTGAGGAAAGCGTAGTAATGGCCTGCATTGAGATCGCCGCTGTGAACTAGAACACCGTGGAGGTGGTAGACCCATGACTCAGATCGATCGGCGCCTTCGGAAAGGTAGGGTGCGGCGTCCCATACTTCTGGGAATTCGTAACGGTCGTTGACTTTCATCATGGCATCGCGTTGGAAGTCGTACTCGAAGCGCTTGAGCTGGAGGTGAAGCACAGGGGGGAAGCTCTCGAAAATGACGCCCTTTCTGGCATCCTGTAGCCCAAAGCCCTCTGCAAAATACTTGTTTTCGCCATCCATGGTTTCCACTTGGATGTAGTCCCTAAAGCTGTCGTCGAGGTTCTTGTTCCCGCTCACATTCAGTTGAATGTCCCAAAATTCCTCAATGCGAGAAGATTCGTAGTCGACGTTGATACACGATATGTACGTCTTCATCTTTCCCACAAACATTTTGGTTAGGGCACCCTCAGCCTCTGTGCCTTTCATGCGCTCATCGAGCTTGTCCATGAGCACGCGGGACAGTTCCTGCACATCTTGTTGCTCGAAAATCTGCTTTGAGTCCCAGCCAAACGAATGGGTCAATTCCGTGGTGCCGACGGCCGTGTTTGAGGTTTGGAGCAGGTAGAAAAGCCGTTGGAGGGCGTAAGCGCTATTCGAACGGTCGGCCTCCTCTGCAGTGGGAATTTGGTAGACGGCCTGGGCAGGTCAGCGATGGCGCCCCCACTTCGGGGCTGGGTACGTACTTGGCGGAAGGCGGTCGTGAAGAAGAGGGACTGGAGGAGCGAGTTGAGGTAGCACGTGGCGCCTTGGTTCTTGAGTCCAACCATGCCGGTTTCCTTTTTGGAGTCGTAGCTACAAACCAGTCAGCAGGCGGCGCTGGAGCGCTTTGCCGGTGGCGAGACTCACTTGATGAAGTTGTGCCACAGGACGCCGGTTGGGTCCTTGAGCACTCGGACGTATGCAGTCACATTGGCGCCATTATCCTCAACCATTGGGCGTCCACGATCCTCCCACGAGTTGCTGAAGAGCTTCCTGAGCTCGGCGAATCGCGTGAAGCCCCAGTCGCCCTCGTCGGCCGTGAAGCGGTGGTGTGCCGTGTGCGTCGTGTAGATGCTGGCGTCGTTTGGGTTCCACAGGACCAGCATGAACTCGACACAGGCATACCAGTCGTCGGGCATGTTCTTCTCGTCGTAGGCCTGCTCGAGGTAGAAGGAGGCAAAGTCGACATTGTTGCCATAGGGAAAGAAGAGGATGCGCCAGGGGTGGCCGCCGCACTCGAAGACGGGGCCGTGTTCACGGCGGGTGAGCTGGCGCCATTCTCTGATTTCCCACGTGTGGTAGGCCTCGGCCTCGGTCTCGTACTCGAGCGTTTTGGGCATGTGCCTCTTCATGAAGGCATCGTACTCGTCGGCGCGAGGCTCGGCGTCGGCGTCGACGTCGTCCATTGGGTCGTCGGTGTCGGGGGTGATGATGGCAACGTCGGCCTTTTCGTCGTAGTCGTGGTCGACGAGCATGTCACTCTCGAGCTGCATGGGGCGGCGGGGTCAGCAACGCCGGGCAGGGCGGCGGACGAGGCAAGGGCGCAAGCTTACCTGATCCATGGCGGCGGCGGCTGCTGGCTGCGAGGAGCCCGGCAGGAGCGGGTGGTGGTGGTGGTTGTGGCCGTGGCCGTGGCCGTGGCAAGCAGTGGCGGGACGGGGCAGCGGGCGGGCGGGCAGCGGGCAGACACAGCAGGCAGCAGCGGCGGCGGCGGCGGCGGCGGCAGCAGCAGCAGCAGCAGCTGGCGGGTTGGGGCAGGCGGCGAGGGCGGGGCGGGCAGGCACGACGCTGTGCGCTCAACGCAGAAGGGGCGGCGGGCAAAGAGGGAAGCTGCGCGCCAGTCGCCGGTCGCTGAAGGAAGGTGCGGGTGGGCAGATGCGCGCGAGCACGAGCAGCAGCAGCAAGCAAGCAAGCAGAGGCGCACAAGCAAGGATGGCTTTCTCGCTAAAAGGTGGCGGCGGTGGAGGTATGACGACCCGATTCACGTCGCTGTGTCGTAAATTCGCCCACGGCAAAAAAAAAAAATCGTCGACACGCGGCGAGGGCGTTTGGGGTCGGGCAGAATACGGGCGACAGCTCTCGAAGCTCACCACTCCAGCCAGCCTATGTATGCATGGCTGAGCGTACTTAGTGCTGTGGAGAGCAACCAGCCAGCTAACCCCAACGTCGCTGCCCACGACGTCATCCCACCCACGCCGCCCGCCGCCCGCCGCCCGCGACGACCACGGCCACGGCCACAGCAATGGCAACAGCAATGGCATCAGCAATGGCGATGGCACCAACTGAGGCCACGCGCGGCTTTGCGGCCGGCTGTAGCACAGAGACGATGCAGACTGCACGCGCTCTGCAAGCAATCACCGCCGTCCCGCCCAATCAGATAATTCCTGTGCCGTGGTTCGACGAGCTGCCAGACGCTGCCCCGTCGTCACGTGTCTGCACGCGCTAGTCCCAGACGGCGCTGGGCTAGAAACAGAGCACAAGCGGCCACACACTGCCAGCTGCCATCGTTCCTGTAGGCCTATTTCACATCCATGCAGAGGTCGCTATGACACATCTATAGCAATCTCCGAGGTCGTGCCCAAGTTTCCAGTCTCAAATCCCGTGGATGCGCTTTGTCTGGTAGTGCAGCTACTAACAACGTCGACGCCCAGAAAAGGCCGCTTAGTCAGCCGCATCGCCTGCTTCTCAAGATGCGCTCCACCTTCTTTACCAGCTGCACGATTACTACCAGAACAGGCATCTCATTGTTTCAAACGTCCAGATGCTCTAGACGGGACTACTGCATCCAGGCACATGCATTTTATTCTGCCTACAGCTGTATAATACCATATATCTGTGTATACAACAAACGGTCACGCTGCCCATAATCTACGTGATGCCTAGCTGATTTTGACGAATAGGGCCGCATATTTCCGGTTTTGCCGGTACTGTAGTCACACCCAAAGCCCTTCCAACACGCTGACTTTCCACGCTCCCCTCCGAGAGCTCTACCCAGCTACCATGGTAGGAAAACATGGTTTCCTGCCAGCGGCGCGGCGCTCGTGCAGCAGCAGATGGCGACGCATTCCTGGACCCGTTTCCCCTGCCCATCTCCACGCCCGCTCCCAGCATGCCACAGCAGTAGCGCCCACATGGAGGCCGTCTTCGGCCCTCGACGAGTAAGCTGCACATGACATGAGCAATTCCAGCTCCTCCTCCACCAGAGCTGATTGCCTCCAGATGGGTGCAGCGCGAAGCCAGGCCTATCAGCTTACGCCAGTTGACTTTCTTCGGGAGGACCCTGACCGAGTCGCGTCTGTTGGATTCGGCCAATTACTGCAGACTAGAGCTGCCGACCAGGCACGACACCGTCCTGCACATCCAAAACATGCTTGCTAACCCGCCCCAGGCTTGCCCATCGCCTCCGCGATATCCAAACTCTGCCCTATGTTGTCGTCGCCAATCCTCACCTTGCTCATGTCTACGAGTTGTATCTGCGAGCCTTTGAGCGTTTTCGTCGCATCCCCGAGATACGCTCGCTCCAAGACAACGACAAGTACTGCAAGATACTCGAGGAGACTCTCACTGAGCATGCTACCGTCATCCCCCGCTTGGCCACGGGCGTCTTGGAGGTGCGGGGCCTGATCAAGGCTGAAGAGACGGACAAGTTCATGACTACCATGCTGCGATCGGTATGACTCGCAATTTGCAAACCGTCCACGCCACACTCACAGTAGAAACAGCGTATATCTCGAAGGGTCATTGCCGAGCAGCTTCTTGCCCTGACCGAGACCTTCAACTCACCATGGCATTTCCCGCATGCCCAGCGCCCTCCGCACGACCAAGAGGCTGTTGGTGAAATCTTCTTGCGATGCAGCGCGAAAGAGATTGTCGAAGGTTGTGGCAAGACGATGCAGGAGCTGATCAGACGCACCTATGGCCCGGATATTGCCATTCCCGAGATCAAAGTCTACGGCCACGTGGACGCAACCTTTCCCTATATCCTCAGCCATCTAGAGTACATCATTGGCGAATTATTGCGAAACTCGATCCAGGCTGTCATCGAACAGTCCCAGCCCAAGGATGCAGCGCTCCCACCAATTGAGGTTTTGATCTGCGAAACCTCTCAGCACGTCATCATCCGCATCTCTGACCGGGGCGGTGGTATCCCAAACGAGGTCTTGCCCTATCTGTGGAGCTTCAGTAAGGGACCGCGACGTGAGAAGCGAATGGAGAACCTAGCAAGGGTCCCGAAGCTGCTCGGTACGCTGCAAGAGCTGCAGGTCCCAGGTGACGAGTCTGCTGCGCAGATACATCAAAAATTAGATAGGAGATCCAGGCATGGCGATTCGGGTTCGCACATGGGCTCCTTGTCTTCACTGACCAGCCGTGCCCCAGACTTGCGCCTCGGCATCGGGCTTCCCATGTCGCGGCTGTATGCAGGTGAGTAATCCATAGCACATGTCTGAGTGGACCCATCTAACCAGCGTGCAGAGTATTGGGCTGGAAGTCTCGAGATACACAGTCTTGAGGGCTACGGCGTCGACGCCTTCCTGCAGATATCAAAACTCGGCAACAAGAACGAACGCCTTGTCATGAGAGCCTCTATGGATGCCATTTAAACAACACCTCGCCATTCTGGAAGGCGGCACCGCATTATCTGTGCCTTGTTGTTACCGAATGAGCGGCCTGGAAGGCGCCGTTGGCCACTTTCACTAACCCAACGTCAAAATGCCAGCCAGACCCTGGCTCTGAATGCTTCTCTTCACTTCCCGTATCGCCGCATTCTTCTCGCACATCCATTGGTGCTAGCAATACAGCATGTATATTGAACCTCATGTAAGCATACCAAACGGCTCACGGATATCACTAACCTACCCAGTTCCCATTACACGCCAGCAATCATGCCCATCCATCTCATATGACGACCATACCGGCACACAGCAACAGAAATCTGCACCCGGAAGACCTGGCTAACGTTGCTTTCGATGTGGAAATACGCGGCCTTGGCGCCAGGTGTGATGCGCCGCCGTACAAAATGCATTGCCCTGGAGTACGAAGGTCGGATATTACACAACGGGAGCAGGGTGCGCATGCTTGAACCCACGATGACATGACAAGTTCTGTGGGACTGATACAGGACAGCTATCAGTCACCTTGAAACCATATCTTGCTGGAAAGGAATTTCCAATGCGCAAGCTTTGGAGCTGACCCTTTGGGAGCGTTTGCTTCACCACTGCTTGGTCTTACGAATCGAAGAACGTTTACGACGCAGCTTAGTGATTCAGTTAAGCAAATGCAAAGGTAAGGAAGCATTTGCCACTTGGGTCGTCGATCCAGCCGTGAATCGTACTAAGTTGATTAGAATGTAGCGACCAAGACACTCTTCCCCGTCTTATCCAGTGCTTTCCCAAGGAACACGTATGCTTCATTGCCATTGACATTGTCCGTCTCGTGTACGATATGATCAGTGCGTTCTACGAAGACCATCCAAGCGAAACGGCTGAAAGAAACTTCCGCTGGTCGCTTGGCTCTGGTGATTTGCCCAGTTTCGTCTACAACTTCCTTTCTACGCAAGACTGCTTCCAGATCACACCAGCTGGACCATGTCTGTTCGTCAAGTACTCAATTGACTGGTCCCTCTTTGATTTGAGCGCACCCGTCGGTGCGTTGGCCCACCTTGCCAGCACCGTAGCAACCCCAGCACGCCCTGCAAATCCGCCACGTTCATGCGCCGGCAAGACCGTTGATACCGTCCATGCACCGTTGCGCACCATAGTCATAATCGCCGATGTGGCCTGGCAACCCCCTGCGATCGAATTCAAACATATTCCCACTCGGCTGAAGCCGAGATCGCGCTATGTAATTGCCCCATCTCGCCTGCAAACCATTCGAGAAGCAGAGATGTTCAGTTACAAAAACTATTCCGAAAACAGTGAATACACCGTGGCAAAATCCTCCTGCATGCTTCGGTGGGATCATGCAGCCAAGCTCTTCCGCGCGCAAGTCCCAGGTAACGCAGAAGCGATTTCAGAGACAATACTGCAAGCCAAAGACATCATGTGTTTTCCAGAGAACGTCCGTTTCGAACGTACGTCGCGATACATCCTTAGAATCGAGGTAGTGGACGCGCCTCAGCCTGATACCGTGTTGGAAAACGAGTCACAATCTAAGATAAAAGTGACGACGCCAGACGATGGCGCCCATACGTGCGATTCTCATATTGATGAACTCGACATCGATCGACAAACTCCGGCTTGCCTCTCTGATTCGCTTGTCGAGTCGACTGAACAATGCGCGTCTCCTCCAGTCAGTATGTGTTCTTATATGGATGAGCACACTCCAATGACCCGAAAACGGCACTTTTCCTGGCACAAGGAGATGACAACTGCTTCGGCCGACGAAAACCATGACCTTCGTGGTGGTGGCGGCGGCGGCTCCGATACCGAGAGCAAGCGACGAAAGCTGGAGCAAATGGAGTTGGCCGACTCTTTCCAACTATCGCAGGAGACTATCCAGCACAACTACTGCGAATTCGAAGCCATAGCTAGGAAGTGCAGGACGGAGCAGCCTGACGTGGGCGATATGAGTTTTGAGAAGATTTTTCTGGGGGACAGCGAATTGGAGGACTGGCAGTCATCTGAAATGGAGATTGAGGATGGGGTGAGTGGGGAGATGCCCTGCTGAAAATTGCGTGTCGTTAGGATTTGTGCAATGGCTGGTCGTCAATGTGTTTTTGTTGTATTCCTTTGTTTTTTGGTTTTTGCGACTTTCTTTCGGTCTTGCGGGAATGAGCATTGTTATTTTTCAAAGCTCATAGCATGATGATGTTTTCATGATTGTGCATTGACCGTGATTGTTGCGTGTCTTGCCCGGTCGGTGCTTCGTGTTTGATCAAACATTCCTTAGTAACGAACGCAGCGGTTTGTTACAGAAGAGTGGCGTGAAGTTTGGTGCCGCCCTAGATATTTAGCTTGGGGTCCACAGCCAGTATAAACGCATCGTATTGCTCCGCCCAACGGGATAGCATGGAGTATGGCCACATTGCCGATGTGTTCAATGACCTGGCTGGCCAACTTTTAGCGAACGAGTACAACAAACAAACTAGGATTTCCATCTCATACATATACCTCCTTTGTCAGGGGCCAGATGACATATCTGGCGCATTTCACATTTCCACCATGAGCGACAACCTCTTTCCAGATGTTCTCACCTTTCTTCTCCCATTCCTCCTCCTCACCATCCTTACGCTCATTTTGCTTCCCACACACCCATCCGACGCACCGCATCTTCTCCCGTCAATCCAACACCACAAACCCATGCCAGTCGCATACCGACAACACAGCAACAGCCGGTTTCCCATCAGCGACACAATTCCGGGTCCTGCGCTAAACCCAGCTCTCGAGCGACTAGCCGCACATGTCGAGCAACTCTGCAGCCAAGTCGACGTCTTAACCCTGCAGACACTGGCGCAGTCCAGAGTCTCAGACACGCTTGCGGCGACGCAGCAGAGCCAGCATGTGCGCGTCGAGTTTCTCAGGAGGAAAATGATGCAGCTGGAAGACGTGCTGGATGCGCTGGTAGACGAGAAAGAGGCGAGGCTGGCGCGGGAAGAGATTGAGAAGAGGAAGGGAGGGGTTTGGAGGCTGCAAAGGGTGCGTGGAGGTGATGGAGCAGAGTCTGTCAGTACGAGTGTGGGAATCAATGAGGAGGGTGATGAGGAGAGGTTATTTGATCCAAAGGTCTATGGGTATGATTGTTGCTCGGGCCAGGGATGTGGTTCGTTTAGTTGAGTGCTGTCTCGTTGATTGAGTTGCTATCTCATTTGCGCGTGGCGGCATGGTGTATGGTGTTTGGTAAGGTAGCTTGGACGTGAGAAAGTTTCCGCAGTGGAAGCTATGGCTAGTATGCATAGCACAGCTCAACACGCTGTCGCTGTCTCATGCCGATATCCGGCTTGGAGCTTGGGCCTGTATGGTTGGGCGGTCAGGCCTGGTGGTTGAGTTGGCACTGGAGCTAGAGCCGTTGCTGTGAACTGCTGGCATCGGCAAGGAATGTCGATGAGAAGATATGGCTTAGAAGGCATATATCACTACACTCAGTCAGTCTCTCAAATGAAGCATCTCCACTACGTAGTTTGGAGTCTCTCACCGCAGCATATCGCGAACAGCACATGCCAACGTCATTCCCCCAACAACGCATACCAATGCACTCCCTCCCCAACTCTAACCGTTTCCGTCCCAGACTACGACTTTTCAAGCAATGAAGCTGACCAGCCGCGTCTATCCGTGCAGTCGTTCTGCAGCCACACGTGACGGGCGCCCGGAGAGAAGCCGAAGCCGTGGCTACCCCGCCCCCCACGCCCGTCGCTTATACCTGCGTGGCCCGCTGCTCAGTCGTCTAAGCCTTCCATCCCTCAATCACGCCATCGCCGCCATACCACAATCGACCACCATGGTCCAGGTACGCCCCCCAGTTTTGCCTCTACGTGTTGCCAAATGCGGTAGACTATGCTGCCTAGTCGATCAAACGGATCTAGTCTGTGTAGAAAAACGTGCAGGGCTGACGTTGGTGTCCTAGCTTGTCCAGTACTCTGTTGAGAAGCCGCTTAACCGCGAGCCGGAGCTCCAAACACTTGTTCAGAGGTACGTGGATGCGGCGGGTCGCACGGAAACAGTGGATAGAGTGGATGCTGATGTGTGGGGACTAGTTTCATCACTAAAGACGGCTATGATCGCAATCATGGGCCCATTCCTTACATCGACGCCGCTACGCACAAGGTTGCCATCACGGGCCTGGTGAACAAGGAGCTTTCGCTCTCGATTGCAGACCTCCAGGCTCTCCCTCAGCATCACGTTGTCAGTGCGCTGCAATGTGCCGGCAACCGGCGCCACACGATGCGTACAAAGCTCAAGGAAGTCTGCGGTCTGGACTGGTTCGACGGCGCAGTCATGAACTGCAAGTGGAGCGGACCTCTACTCAAAGACGTTTTGGAACAGGCAGGCGTCCGGATTGCAGACGAAAAGCTGGCTGAGGCCCACGTTGCGTTTTCGTGCTTTCAGACGCCTACGCAAGATGACACCTTTTACGGTGCCAGCATCCCGCTCTCGCGCGCCATGAACCCAGAGTACTCGGTTATGCTGGCTCTGAAAATGAACGATGAGCTGCTCCCGGCAAACCATGGTGCGCCAGTGCGTATCGTGACTCCCGGCATCGCCGGCGCCAGGAGCGTGAAATGGCTCGACCAGATATCCGTTCAGATGTGCGAGAGCCAGAGCTACTACCAGCAGAGCGACTACAAGATTCTGCCTCCCGAAGCCGACTGCAAAGAAAAGGCCAAAGAGTACTGGGGAAAGGTTAGTGCTCTGCAAGATATGCCTGTCAACAGTGTGATTGGCATCCCCAAGTCCGATACTACTGTGCAACGAGATGCAGACGGCGCAATTGAAGTACGAGGATACGCACTGCCCAGCGGAGCAGATGGCCCGATTGTCAAAGTCGATGTCAGCGTCGACGGTGGAAACACGTGGCAAGAGGCCGAGCTGGTTAATACGTATGAGGGCGAAGACGCCAAAGACGTGGAGCTCAAGTGGGCGTGGGCCCTGTGGAAAGCTCGAGTCAAGGTCGAGAAAGGTAAGGATGTTGTCATCTACAGTCGTGCGACAGACAAGAGTGGTAATGTCCAGGACAAGTGTCCGACGTGGAATTACCGAGGTGTGGCCTATAATGGCTACGGCGAGGCGTTTGGACTGGAAATCATCTAGACACGGTAATATTGAGTGAGAAGCAGGAGAGCGGAAGTGGTTTTCAGACTGGACATGACAGCGTTGATGCTTTTACGATTTGCACGACAATACTTTTATGAACCTTTTTTCAGACGCATAAACAGACAAGCAAGCGAATAGCAATGTTTTCCATTCAAACTCCCTGACGCTATGCATTCATTCTGAAATCCCATAATACATCAATATGCGACCATGTCCGAGCCTTACTCTATCCCTATCACAGTCCCAGGCTCTTCCTCACATTCGTCCGCACAATATTCTCGTACTCTTGCCTCTTCTCCCTCCACATGCGCGCCGCATCCACATTCGCCGGACTCTCATCATTCGGCTCCGCCAACATGCTCATGACGCTAATCAATATCTTCTCCACACTCTGTATGGGCGACCACCGTTCCGACGCCTGTTCATACTGCAGGGGATCTTCGCCAGGCGCATGTAGAATCGATATGCAGACCTCTCCGTTCGGATACACTAATTCCCCAATTCCCCATTAGCCCTCCCCTACGCCGACTCGAATGTTTCCAGAACAAAGAAGGAAAAAAAAAAGGACAAACTCACCGTTCGGATGCCACATGTCCGTCACAAACTTCATCTTGGGCGGCGCAAGCGGATAGTCCTTGGGGAACCGCAGCTCCGCGGGGAACACACCGCCTTCAAATGGCGTGCCTTCGGGCCCTTGGATCAACGCTTCCCACACAAACATGTCGTCTTCGTTTACGGGGCCCGCCGTGATGCCCTCGGGTGGGTCGTTGAAAAGTGCCTTGTACTCTTTGAAGAGCCGCTTGGAAGCCGACGACGCCATTGTTCGTTGGTTGTCGCTGGTCGTGGAAGCGGGGAGCGGCGGGGTCGCTGTGGTGTGTATGCGGATGTCTTGTTTTTTCTTCTCCGGCGATATGGGGTTGGGAAGCCGGAATGGAGGGATGGGGTTTAAAGGCGACAGTGATGTTTTTTCCTAGACAAGTGTCCTTTTGGGTAGGTGGTGCAGAAGGGTGTGGTGGTCGAGAGAACTGGTGAATGTCTGGGTTGCGACACGTCGGCGTTAGCGACGCGGAGTTACTGGCTTAGCGTCAGAGACACGTGACATGTGCTTCTTCGGGGGTCGTTTCGGAACCTCCTACGATGTCTTGTTTTTTTCTTCTATAAGATATTGCACGATTACTAGAAATGAATAAGCATACAGGTAAATTCTATACAGACCAATCATGAGAATGAGATAGCCTCTGCAGCATGCTACTCCTAGCACGAACACTGCATGTACAAGGCATCAGGCCTAAGTTTTTTTTCACTCTTGGTGATCTGAGCGGTGCCAAACAAGCTGTATTAGCTAACCTGTCATGTGCTAGATGTTAGACATTACTTAAGCAAAGTAGGGGAAATGGTTGTATTTCTCTAATACAAAGCAGGTTCTCAGTATGAAGCCTTGTGTCGTGGATACAAGCTATTTAACCAAGGGTGTGCCAAGAGGTGGCGTGGACTAGCTATATTAGGCAACTTCTAGACATAGTATATAGATTACTTACTATGCTAGAATATTAGCGTACTAAGAAATGTTTGAAAAAGCTTAGTAAAAGGTGCTATTATCTAAATTAATTTTTGTTGGAGTATATCTATCTCGCTATTACTATAGAGTAAAAGGTATTACCTTTTACACCTACAGTTATAAGCCTAGGAGCCGCTAGCTACGCTATAGCTAGTGGATAAATATAAGGCTAGTAGGTAAGTAACGATACGTAAGACTAGTAAGGCTAGTATAGGTAAAAAAAAGAGCCTCTACTCTTAGATTTATCTAATAGATGGTACCCTCTAGTTTTAAACTCACAAACTTTAAGAAGTCTTCTCCTCTACCTGAGATAGGACTAGCGGCGGCGCTAGTCTATCTAGGGGGTGTTTTAGAGTAACTCTATCTCGCTATTGTAAGAGGCTACGCCTACGTATGTACAGCTTAGCTTCTAAGCGAGTATATCTATACGACTACCTAGACTTCAAGAAGCTTGAAGTCTTGTTACTGCCTTTTTGGCTATGGATGGCGTAAGTAGTCGTACGCTCGGCCCGTTGGGCCCGCCCATTACAGCTATAGCTATAGAGCAATAGTGTTACAAGTAACAACAGGAAGTATCTCCTCCCTGGTGATAATAGTATAGTAGTTAAGGAACCACTTAGGATTCTAACTAGAAACAAAGGATATCGCAGGACTTAGTTACGTAATATGCTATTACGCTAAAATAGTGCTATTAGTAATAGCAAGAACTATATATAATAATAGGCTATTAGCAGTAGAGACTACTATTGTGCCGAGGCACAGGGTCACTGTGACCCTTGTGCTATCTACGTACTGTTCACTCTCTTAAGCGCAGATAAATTAGCAGTAAGGTCTAGAAGAAAAATTAATTAATAATATCTCTTAAGAAAATCTCTTACTTAAATACCTAACTTCTTATAATTCTCTTTCTCTCCCCTCTCCTAGTAGTTAAGGCAAAGGGGAATAGCCTATCGTTCTGTTCTTCCTACTGAGAAGACATCGCTTATTAAATAGTGTTAATGCAGGAGGAAATAGGTCGCCTACAACAGACTATTAAAACGTTAACAAAGCGAAAAACTCGTAAGTGGCGCTACGTATAGGTAGAGGAGTTATAGATAGTTAGCTAGATAGCTAATTAGATTACTAAAGTAGAGGGTGGTAGCTATAATAATAGTGTAACACCTGCAAAGAGGGTGCGTAGTAAACGGCGCTATAGACGTTGTAGCTAAATTAGATACAACTCTTGCACCTGCTAAGTAGAACTAGAGAATAAAGATAATAGTAAATAGTCTATAAAATAAGATTCTATTCTACTTAATTAGAATAATTATAGTGGTGTTGCGTAATACTAATGTGAAAGTAAGTTAGTAGGATTTGATGGGGCGCACACTGGGGTGGGGCGCACACTGGTGAAACACGTTAGTGTTTTTATTAAATTTTATACGCTAATAATAGGTGTAAGAAGCTTATTCTAAGTATAATTAAAAGTAATAGCTAGTTAGTTTATTCCTAACTATAATAAAATATAATTAACACGCTTAGTAATATTACATACGCATAGATTGATTGAAATTCTCTAATACACTTATAATATACAATTGTAAGGGGCTGCGCTCCGGGGAGCAATCGCGAGGTATATAAGAGGTTGTATTCGATAAGGAGCTATCTACTCTGCTTACGTGGTGTTTATTTACTTATCGGAGAAAGGTTATGCTAGAGTATCTGAGCGCGTTGTCTGAGCGCTGCTCAGTCTAAACGTAGTTCAGATGGTGCGCGCGCAGCTTGGCCTGAGATTCCATCGAGGAGCTATCCAAAGGGCGTTCAGCCCGTTATAATACCCCCCTCCTTAGGGGATACCGCATCGCCTCTCCGAAACCCCTCTGGGAGGCGGCCCTCGCTGTCTCGTTTGGCCTCCGTAAATGCTTCCCAACGATCTACTGCCTCAGCGTCCTCTAGCAGCTCAGCTGGTTCAAGCGTCGTTTGGTGGAACCCTTTCCATTTCACCTCGTAGTATAGCTTACGCCCTCTCCCACGGCGGCGTACCTCTTCTGCCATAATGTCCTCTACCTCCCATTCATCTTCTCCGTCTACCTGTAGTGGCTGTGGCTGATAGTCGTCCTGAACCTAGTTTGGGAGGGGATTATTGCTAGCGAGTTTCATCTAATCAACATAAAAAACAAGGTGTGGTCCTGGAGGCGTATCTAATTCAACTAAGTGGCTATCGATTACCTTTACCACTGTATACTTAGCGTTCTTCCAGTCGAGCTTCTTTAAGCTTCGCCCTGTGCCGTACTGCTAATCGAGCTTCAGCCATACCTTGTCGCCTACTCGGTAGCTCTGCGCTTCTCTCCGAGTCTTGTTCGCCTGTCTCTCCTATTCTTGTTAAGCAACCGCCATGCCTGCCTGGGCTAGTTCTACAGCTTGTTGTAGCTTAACCGCAATCTCTGCTGCTTTCTGTTCGTCCGAAAGCTGTTCAGCTAGTTTCCGTTGTTGTCTTTTGTTGCTAAGCTCTAGCTATAGCGGCTCTACCTCATGTCTATGCTGTAAGAAGAAAGGTGACATTCTAGTTAACGTTGCATTCCTGCTATTAATCGCAATCTAGGCCATTAGGCAGAGCCGTGCCTAGTCGTCCTAAGCCTAGTTTGTAAACGATTGGATATAGGTTTCCTAGACGCTATTCATCCTCTCCGTTGCGCCGTCTGTCTGCGGGTGGTAGGCAGTTGATAGTCTCCGCTTGATCTTCAGAAGCTCGCATAGTTTAGCCTATAGTGTACTCACGAACTAGCTGCCTCTGTCAGAGGTAATAGCGTCTAGTAGCTAGTGATATGCAACCACGCGCTCGATGAACTTTTGGACGACGGTTTCCGTCTTCGTATCTGGGAGCGGTACGAAGATCGCACCCTTGCTAAGCCAGTCAGTGACCACCATCAGGCTAGTCATGCCTTCGCTCTCTGGTAGTCCTTCGACAAAATCTATGGAGATCTCCTTCCAGATCCGAGTGGGTATTGGCAGTGGTTTCAGAAGGCCTTGCGTGCCCTCTCTCCAGGACTTGCTCCGTCCGCAGGTGTCACAGTTTCTAACGTATCTTTGGATCGAATTGGTCATGCCTGGCCAAAAGTAGTCCCTTGCGAGAATCTTGTACGTTAGCTCGCGCCCTAGGTGACTAGTGACTAGTGAGTCGTGGGCACTGCTGATGATTGCTGTTTGCAACTTGTTGTTGTTTAGCACCTACTTGCGCCCTTAGTAAAATAGGACTCTACTGTCTGCTAAGTAGTCTTTAATTAAGCACTTTAGGCCTAAGTTTACAGGGAAACGTCTCTCTTAGTCCTCTACTGCCTTCTTCGCTCCTTAGTAGACACGATCCTTCGCTGTCGCTTCTTGCTAGAGCTTCTCTAACTTATTCTGCTCTGGCACTTTTTTATTTAGTACTCTAGGAAGGAGCTGATCTGATTCTTCTCTAGATAGGGGGATAGCCTCCTCTTTCCGCTGCTGGCTTCGTGTCCTCGTTGCCATCACTAAGATAGCTTCTTCTAGTTCTTCTTCTATTACCTCCTAATAGGAGTTTGTTGGCTTAAATATTTGTACGAAGCGCTTCTGTAAGCGCTCGTCTTCTGCCCCTACGGGCAGGTCTTGTTCTCTTCTTAAGAGCGCGTTGGCTCTCACGTTCTGCTTACCCAGCCGATATAGCAGCTCTAGGTTGTATCTACCAAGTAAAAGCAACTATCTCACCTAACGTTTGTTTAGCATACAGGGTTTTATAAAGTACTCTAGATTCTTGTGATCTATAATTACCTTAAACTTCTTAACTAAACGCAGTTTGGAGTCCTATTTCTTAAGGCATCGTACTACTACAAGTAACTCCTTGTTATGGATCTTGTAGTTGCACTTGTGCGCGCTATTCTTCCGCGAGAAGAACGCGCAGGGTCGTAAGACTCCATCATCACCGTACTGCGATAGCACTCCGCCTACCGCGTAGCCGCTCGAATCGCACTCGAGCACTGTCTCCCAATCTGGGTCGAACGCCGCCAGCGTTGGCTCTATAACAAAGATCTCTTTTAGCTTGTTAAAGGCTAATTGCTCTTTAGGTCCCTATTAGAAGGGGACGTTGCCTATAAGTCTAGTAAGAGGTGCGGCTAGCTGTGCAAAGTTCTTAATAAACCTTTGGTAGAAGTTTGCGAATCCTAAGAACGATCTTACTCCCTTTACTGTCTTTGGTGCCTCCCACTCGCGAATTGCGGCTATCTTGGCTAGATCTATGCTTATCCCCTTGCCTGCTTTAATAA